CAATAATTTTTTTTTAACAAAGATTTATAAATTGGTGTTTTTTTACCACAGCATCTCAATACTTTCCATCACTAAAATATCGCTTATTGGTTTGTTCACAGTGCATGTTGTGTGAGTACATATGATAGCGCATAGAATCGCAATGGAGGTCATAGAAGGGGCAGGGTGTAGGCTTGGGACCCTGATACATGGAGGGCATGGAACAGGAATGGGTGCTGTTTTTATTCATTAATGGATGTGGGCATCACTGACTAGACCAGAATTTATTGCCCTTGAGAAGATGGTGGTGAACCACCTTCTTCAGTCACTAAAGTCCATGAACGAACACCACAGTGCTGTTTGGGGAAGGGGGTTGCAGGATTTTGACCAATGATGACGCAGATCCAGCCAGGATAGAATATGGTTTGAAGGAGAACTTATAGGTGGTGGTACTAACATTTTTTCTGTTTATGTCTTTCCAGGTGGTACAGGCTGTTTGGAATGTATTACTGCAGGAACCTTGGTGAGTTGCTGCAATGTGTGTTGTAGATGGTTCCCATTGCGCATCATTGGTGGAGGGAGTGAATTTTGAAAGTGGTGGACAGAGAACCAATTATTTGGCTGCTTTGACCTGGATGATAACAAGCTCTTGAATGTTGTTGTAGCTGCACTCATCCAGGCATGATAGAGTATTTCATCACACTCCTGACTTTTGCTTTGTAAATGGTGGACAGGCTTTGGAGAGTTACGAGGCAGAAAGTGGTTGAAGCCAAAGCATTGAATGTATTCAAGAAGGAGATAGAGATATAATTCTTAGGGTTAAAGGAATCAGAGAGTATGGAGCAAAAGCAGGAACAAGGCACTGAGTGGATGATCAGCCATGATAATACTGAATAGAGCAGCAGGCTTGAAGAGATGCATTAGCCTATTTCTGTTCCTAATCTCCTACGTGAGTTACTTACTACAGAAATCAAAGAACAAAGAAGACCAAAGAACAAAGAACAATACAGCACAGGAACAGGCCCTTTGGCCTTCCAAGCCTGCGCCAAAACATTTTGCCCTTCCATACTGAAACTGTCTTCACTTACAGGACCTGTATCCCGCTATTTCTTTCCTATTTAATGTATTTATTCAGGTGCCTCTTGAATGCTGCTATTGTGTCTGCTTCCACCACCTCCTCTGGCAGTGCATTCCAGGCACTCACCACCATTTGTGTGAAAAATTTGCCTCACACATCTCTTTTAAACGTCACTCCCCTCCCCTCCACACCTTGAACATGTGTCCCCTAGTAATTGATTCCTCCACCCTCATACTTTCCACTTCATCTATGCCATTCACAATCTTATAAACTTCTATCAGGTCGCCCCTCAACCTCCTGCGTTCCAGTGAAAACAAACCCAGTCTATCCAACCTTTCTTCATAGCTAAAATCCTCGATATCAGGCAACATCCTGGTAAACCTTTTCCATACCTTCTCCAAAGCATTTACATCCTACTGGTAGTGTGGTGACCAGAGCTTTATGCAATATTCCCAGCATGGCTAAAGTTCTATAAAGCTGCAGCATAACCTCCTATCCTTATACTCAATGCCCCTTCCAATGAAGGCCGTTGACCTTTTTTTACTACCTTTTCTACCTGCACTGCTGCCTTCAGTGACCTTCGATCCGCATACACAGATCCATCTGCATATCAATACTCCTAAGGGTTCTGTTGTTCACTGTATAATTTCAATTTATACTTGACCTTCCAAACTACATCACCTCACATTTGTCCAGATTAAACTCCATCTGCCATTTTTCTAACCTGCCTCCAACTGATCTATATTCTGCTGTTTTCTCTGGCAATCCTCCTCACTATCCACAACTCCACCAATCTTTGTATTGTCCACAAACTTACTAATTACACCAGCCATGTTTTGCTCCAAATCATTTATGTGGGCCACAGAACAGCAAAGATCCCAGCCCTGATCCCCGTGGAATGTCACTAGTAACAACCCTCCATTCTGAAAAGCATCCTTCCACTGCTACCCTCTATCTTCTAAGACTAAGTCAGTTCTGTATCCATCTTGCCAGCTCACCCCGATATCATGTGACTTCATGTTTTGTATCAGTTTGCTAAGAGGGACCTTGTCAAAGGTTTTACTGAAGTTCAAGTTCATCAACTGCTTTTCCCTCATCAATCATCTTCATCACCTCCTCAAAAAACATGATCAAGTTAGTGAGGCATGACCTCCACGCATAAAATCATGCTGTTTATGGCTAATAAGTCCATTTGCTTCTAAGTACGTGTAGATCTCGTCCCTAAGAATCTTTTCCAATAATTTCCCTACCACCAATGTGAGGCTCACAGGCTCATAATTTCCTGGATTATCCCTGCTACCCTTCTTAAACAATTGAGCAACATTGGCTATTCTCCAATCCTCTGGGACCTCATATGTGGCTAAAGAGGATAAAGAGACATCTCCGCAATTTGTTCTCTTGCCTCCCTCAATATTCTGGGATAGATCCCATCAGGACCCAAGGATTTATCTACCTTAATACTTTAAGACACACAACACCTCCTTCTTTTTAATAGCAACTTGGTTTAGAAATTCGACTGTCCCTTCCCTGAGATCATCCTCCACCGATCCCTTTTCTTTGGTCAAAACCGCCACAAAGTATTCATTTAGGACCTCACCTACCCGTCCTGGCTCCACACATAGATTCCCTGCTTTGTCTGTGAGTGGACCAACCCTTTCCCTGGCTACCCTCTTGTTTTATATGTGCATAAAAAGCCTTGGGATTCTCCTTAATCCTGTTTGCTAATGGCTTTTCCCTTTCAGCCCTTCTAATTCTTTGTTTAAGTTCTTTCCTACTTTCCTTATATACTTCAAAGGCTTCATCAGTTCCCATCCTCATATTCCTTACGTATGCCTCCTTTTTCTTTCCGACCAAGGTCATAATATCCATGGTCATCTAAGGTTCACGTAACTTGCCATACCTATTGTTCATTCTTGCAGGATGGTGCCACTCCAGAACTCTTATCAACTGCCATTTGAAATACTCCCACACGTCCGATGTGGATTTACTCTCAAACAGCTGCCTCAAATCAAAATTCTCCAGTTTCTGCCAATATTGTTGTATTTCGCCTTCCCACAATTTAACACCTTCACCTAATATGTTATCCCTATCTATGAGTATCTTAAAACTCATGGTATTATATAAACCCACTCTCTCACCTTCTCCTGTAGCCACTGCACTTGCATGACTTGTTCAGATTGTTTCTTGTCAGAGATAACAGCCAGGATGTTTTGACTGAGTTCTTTGAAGAGGTGGCCAACAAAATGGATGAAGGCATAGCAGTGGATGTTGTCGACATGGACTTTAGCAGGGTCTTCGACAAGGTACTGCATGGTAGACTGGCTGGTAAGATTAGATCACATAGGATCAAGGGAGAGCTAGCCAATTGGATTAAAATTGGCTCAATGATAGGAGACAGAGGATGGTGGTAGAGGATTGTTTTCCAGACTGGAGGCTTCTGACCTGTGTGTGCCACAAGGATCAGTGCTGGGTCTACTGTTGTTTGTAATTTATACAAACGATTTGGATGAGAATATGGGAAGCATGTTTAATAAGTTTGTGGATGTCACCAAAATTGATGGTATAGTGGACAGTGAGGAAGGTTATCCAAGAGTATAATGGGATCTTGATTAATTGGACCAGTGGGCCAAGGAATGGCAGATGGAGTTTCATTCAGATAAGTGCAAGGTATTGCATGTTGGTAAGCAAGTCAGGTCAGGATATACACAGTAAATGGTAGGCCCTTTGGTAGTGCTGTTGAACAGAGAGACTTAGGGGTGCAGGTACATAATGCCTTGAAAGTGGTGTCGCCGATGGACAGGGCGGTGAAGCAGGCTATTGATACACTTGACTCATTGATCTGAGCAATGAGTACAGTTGGGATGTCATTTTATGGCTGTACAAGACATTGGTAAAGCTGCATTTGGAGTATTGTGCACAATTCTGGTTACCCTGCTCTAGGAAGGATGTTATTAAACTAGAAAGGGTGCAAAAAAGATTTACAAGAATGTTACCAAAACTGGAAGGTTTGAGTTAGAAGGATGAGTTGGATCATGTGGCATTTTTTTCCCTGGTGCATAGGAGTTTGAGGAGTAATCTTATAGAGGTTTATAAAATCATGAGGGGTATAGATAATGTGAATAGCCAAGGTCTTTTCCCCAGGATAGGGGAGTCTGAAACTAGAGTGCATAGGTTTAAGGTGAGAAAGGAAAGATCTAAAAGGAACCTGAGGGGCAATGTTTTCACACAATGGATGGTGCGTGTATGGAATGAGCTGCCAGAAGAAGTGGTAGAGATGGGTACAATTACAACATTTAAAAGACGTTTGGATAGGTACAAGGATAGGAAAGTTTTAGAGGGATATGGGCTAAATGTAGGTAAATAGGATTAGTTCAGTTTTGGGAAACCTGGTCAGCAAGGATGAGTTGGGCTGAATCTCCTGTTTCAATACTGTACGACTTTAAAACTTTATGTTGGAAGTGAGGAATTTAGTGATGGTAATACCATTGCATGTCAAAGTATGGGTAAGACATTTTAAAGGTGTCATTCAAAATGTTCCCAAATTTAGTGTTTACTTCAAGACTCCAAGGAGCCGTGGATGGGTAAGTCAATGAGAAGCTGGCTCAACTCTACGAAAATTGCAGGGTGTATGAGATACGTACCCTCAGAATGTAGCTGGCCAGATTGAAAATCCAGGATGCAGATTCACCATCTGACCTTTATCTCAAGTTGGTCATGAGAACTGGTTGAATCCTGGAAATGGGTCCTGTCACTACCTTTAAATGCCTCTCAAATCAACTCAACTCCATAAAAATTCAGGCTTAAGTATCTAATTGGGTGGTCAACAATATAGCCAAAAATCATCACTTGCTGTGTAGACAAATGTAGTGAAATAGTTATTTAATAGTGAGGTTTCAGTATGCTGTGCTACTTGGCCACTTACAGCACAAATCATTCTATCTACCTCTCAATAAGTTTTCTTTGTTCTTTATCTATCTTCTTGAGTTTCTGAAACTCATCAATGACTTTGTCTTTACTCACAGCCTCAGTTTCCACCTGTGAAAAAAACATGAAAGTAAAGAACAATTGTTTTCTAAATGCTACCCAAAATTCTTGCCAGCTACATCTAAGAATTTTATTTCAAAAATTAGTTCCATTTAGAGTGGGATGGTAGCTCAGTTTGGCACTGTTATCTCACTGCACCAGGGACACAGGTTCTGTTCCAGCCTTTGATAACTGTCTGTGTGAAGTTGTTACATTCTCCCTATTTCTGCTGGGTACTGTGGTTTCCTCCCACAGTCCAAAGATATGTAGGTTAGGTGGATTGGTTGAGGTAAATTTCCCCGTAGTGTCCAGGGATGGTTAAGCCAGAAAGGTTAGCCGTGGTAAATGCGGTGTTATGGGGATAGTGTGGGATCCGGGTGGAATGATCTTCAGAGAGTTGGTGCAGACTCAATGGACCAAATTGCCTCTTTCTGCACTGTATGGATTCTAATATTAAATCATTAATATTATTGCTGGATTTATAAAGATATCTATATTTCATGGGAAGATTTTCTCTGCATACCTTTGTAATAAAAATATTCTTCAACATTTATTTTTAATTTACATTGCGCATAATGCATATTCCTACAGCAGCTTCCCTCAAACCTATGTACAGAAAATATATCTCTATTACCTCTTCTGGTACTGGACAAACATCCTCCTTGACAACAATTTCCTTCTGTACAGAAGAAAGTCTCCTCTGGTCAGCTAATTCAGTTTCCTTTTCTTTTAAGGATGCAGCCAGCTCTTGAGCAGTTCGCTCCTTCATTTCCATCTGCATCAAAAGAAAAGAGCAAAGAGTGATGTTGTGAATTTTGAAACTGCATGAAACAAAATTAGTTATCAGTGCAGGACAAGATTTTATGAATTGTTATCATTACTTAAGAAACAATTGATATTATACAATAGAGAATATGGGTTGAAATTCTCCATTTACATGTACATAATAAAAGGCAAAGACAGTCCTTATCTCACACTAATTTTCGTTGTGAATGCTAGATTAAATGCAGATATTTGAATTATCCAAGCCTGCATAAATTTGCTATCTGTTTTCCCCAGGTCTAAAATTTGCTTTGAAATTCCAAGCTATGGTAAAATTTCTGCTGGATCAAATAATTAATTATATTTTAAAATGAATGGTGAAAGTTTTCTGTACTGTTTCAGAATTGATTAATTAAGCCAATTACTTTATTTGGAAGTTTGCTCAGAGTAATCTAATTATAAATTTTATACAGTCAGGATTTATACTTCTGGTATAAAATCTGTACATTCTCCACCTGAGTACTTTGCATTGTGGCAAATGTCTTTGCTTGATACTGTGATTATTCTTAGTAATGTCTATGCAACCTGTGTAAGAACAAATGAGGAAAGTCAGGATGGGAATGAATCCATTAGGAGGACATGTTGAGACTGGTGATCTAGCAATTCAGATTTAGATATCTGAATATTTTTGAAACACAGCCTAATGACTTTTAACATATTTTTAATTTCTTCCAAGATCCTGGAGAGATTATATTAGCAGTTAGCATAAACTTACCAATGCATACAGGAAGTCATCAACACTCTCATGGCATTCATTATGGGTCATTCACTTGCTAAGATAACAACTTTGAACTGAATGCTGACAGTTGGGTGAGTAAAGGAAAATTTAATCACCTCTTAAAAAATAATTTTGTTTGTATTTCATATTTAACATTTAACTGCAATTTATCACTTCAATTCTAAATTTCATTCAGGATTAAGCAGGAAGATACAAGTTAGCTAAGGAAACCAGCTTAAACTGTTTTTGCTTCTGGACCAGGGGCTCCACTATTGCTTCAGTTTCAGATATATCAATACAGGCATCTCAGTGTGACTTAGCTGTGAGTGAGAATTGGAACAGAATGGTAAGGTTGGGTAAGTTAGTTGAGGTTAGGTGGAAAAAGAAAGAAGTGCTCATTTGCTTTTTACTAACTTGTTTTATCCTATAGGAATTGGATCCTGCTCTACGAGAAGAGAAAAGGTACTGCTTGTTGAGTATCTGGTAAGTGGTTAAGGCATATTCTGTTACTAAGATTTAAAAGAGACTAGGAATTAATGGTAAGGTGAATAAAATATATAAAGAGAAAATTTTAAAAATGAATAGAATAATTAAATAGTCAATTAAAACACATTAAGGATGAGAGGACGGGGATGTGTTATGGCTGGTAGCGTGTACGAACTCCGGGATATAGGTGTGATCCAAAGTAAATGTATCTGCAAGTGTATGTCTGTTACTCAAGGGGCTTTGGCTTACAGTTTAGTCTCTGAAATACAGAGACCATTGGACATTAAGGAGGAGGAAAGTTACTTGGATACTGAAATTACTCCACAGAGGCTGGTATCGTGTGACCAAGTTACCCCTTATTTACCCATGGAGAATCCTTGACGCTGATCCAGCTCCCTCAGAGTCAGCTATCAAAGTGAGCAGAACTTCTGACACTCCTGTTTATATCTGTCAGCCAGGGCTCCCTGATTGGGCCAGATTAACAGCCCTGATCAGGGAACTCATATTCTTTAGGTACACCTGGCTGACCTCATTATAATCATTACATTCCCTCCCCCTTTGAGTCCGAGGACATAGGTCGGTTATTTTGTTTTGTAGCTCTTCCTGGGGCATTTTAGCACCGGGTCAGGTTCCTCCAACTCTGCCTCTGATATGGATGGCATATAATGCACAGAAGCTTGCCTCTTGCGCCCAGAGCATCCTCATCTTTAGTGGGCAAAGGCGTTGAGGCAGTGACATCCGTCGTGTCCATCTCAGATTCCAAGGTATCCTCAATATTTGATGAAGAGGGAGAACCCATGGGTTCTGGAATAGTCAGAAAGGCAGTCGAAGAGCTGGGCACGTTTTGTTCCTGCACCATTTGCGAATTTGTAGTTTTCGTGTCTACATGCTTGTTCAGGACTGTTGCATCTATCCGAACTTTATACATCACTACAGCCGACCTCGCATCGAATATGCCTCTTACCCATACAGGGCCATTCCTGTGGTTCCCACACCAAACATCGTCTCCTGAAATAAACTGTTTCTCTTGCTTTGTGTCTGGCATTGGCATTCCTGATGCCATTTCATCCTCCCTGCCCCAGGACCAGGAAGATCAGATTTAACCTGGTGTGGAGTCTTCTCCCCATCAGCAACTCTGCTAGAGCCTTTCCTGTAGTTGCATGAGGTGTGGTCCTATAATCATATAGAAACCAGGACAATTTGCTATCGAGTGAAGCTGTAGGCTGTTTCTTTAAGCCTGCTGTCAAAGTTTAGACTGCTCTTTCTGCCAGACCATTGGATGATGGATGGTGTGGAGCTGTCCTGAGATGGTGAATCCCATTTAACCAGGAAATATTCAAATTCCCTGCTGATAATTGATGGCCTGTTAACTGTGACCAACACTGCCGGGAGTCCGTGTATTGCAAAAGAAGTGCATAGTTTTTCTATCATAATCCCCACGTATGATGAATGAACTCTGCGCACATCCAGCCATTTCAAGTGGGTGACCACAATGACCAAAAACATTAAGCCCATGAAGGAGCCTACATAGTTGACGTGTAACCGAGCCCAGGATTTACCCAGCCATTCCCATGAATGTAGGGGAGCAGCTGGCAGTAATTTTTAGCCTTGTTGGCACTCTGGACACTATATTGTACCAATACAATCATGTCTGCATCCAGTCCTGGCAACCAAACATAACTTCTCGCCAACATCTTAATTTTGGAAACCTCTGGATGACCTTGGTGGTGTTCAGCCAATATCTGGCAGTGAACTTTGCTCAGGACAATCAATCTTGCTCCTCATAACAATATGTCATCCTCTACTGCGATCTGGTCTCTCCAGTTCAAAAAGGTTTCAGTTCTGGTTGTGACAGCCCTTTGGTTTTCCCCATCACCACCAGCTGTTTCAGTTTTGCCAGTACTGGATCTTTCGGTTTCCAAAGTCTGATATTGTCAGCTGTGACTGGATGTCTGTCCAGAAAATTTAAAACCATTACAGACTCTTCCAGTAGCGGTACCACTGGTGGCCTATCTGCCAGTGGGAGGTGGCTCAATGCATTTGCGTTTGCTACTTGGCCTCTGGGATGGTGTTGCGATTTGTAATTAAACAAGCTTAGAATTAAAGCCTACTGCTGAATTCAGCCTGAAGCTATATGTGGCATTGCCTTGTCCTCTTTAAGTAGACCTAGCAAGGATTTGTGGTCTGCTATTATTACAAATTCACGTCCATAAATATATTGGTGGAATTTCCTGACTCCAAGTATGACCGCCAAACCTTCCTTCTGTATCTGGGTGTATTTATGCACTACATTAACCAAAGTCCTGGATGCATATGCTATTGTGCATTCCTCTCTATTTGGGCCACCTAAGAGCTAATACTGCCTTGATGCCATATAGGGAGGCATCGCATGTCAACACCAGATCTTGCTTGGGACCATTGTGAGCCAACACCTGAGAGGATGATAGCTGTTTCTTCACTTCCCCAAAAGCTGTGAATTGGCTACGTGATCTTTTCCAAAGCTGACTCTTAAGAGTTGATGCAAAGATGCCAGATGGAGGCCAGGTTATGCATAAACTTTCCACACTAATTCACCAGCCCAAGGAAAGACCTAAGTTCCTGGACAGATGTGGGAGCCAGGTCACCTGTAATCACCAATGCTTTATCTTCCAAAAGGTATTACCTGGTCTTGTCAACTCTGTAAACCAAGATGGTCACTTGGGTGCCTGGAACACACATTTTTCCCTTCTAACACACACAAAAATTACACAAAATACCCCAAATGGCAGTCATGTATATCGGTATAAATCTTGATGGGTATTAATTGTAGTACACTTCTGGGAATCCTCATCTAAACGCAATTGCAAGTGCGCATGGCTCATGTCCTGCTTCATGAAGGACAGTGCCCAGCCCCCATCGCAGCTTTGCCCATAAATCCTCTATGCGAGGGATTCGGTCTTTATATCTTGTGACCAGACCCATCAGGCTTCACAATTGGTATGAGTGGTGCTGCCCATTTTGCAAACTGAACGGATTTAATGATTCCTTCACTTTCCAGTCTCCTGATTTCTGCATCTACTTTTGTACATAAGGCAAATGGCACTGGGTGGGCCTCACAGAATTGTGGAATTGTTTACTCATCAATATGCAAGGTGGCCTTGGCTCCTTTGATAGTCTCTAGACCTTCCTGAAAAATGTCTGGGTATTTAATTAGGACTTCATTCAGGTGGCCATTTTCTAATCAAAAAATGTTGATGAGATCTAGGTGAATCTCTCTCAACTAATTTTGCCCCATCAAGCTTGGGCCGAAACTTTTACTACAATCAGTGGTAACTGAACCAGCTGCTTCTCATAAGAGGCCAGAACTGAAGGTGTACCCTTAATCTATAAAGGTTCCCTGGTACAAGTTCTCAATCTAGCCAAGGTCATGTGCAAATTTAAGGGTGGGTGTCCAGAGCAAATTTTGTTAAACACTGATTTGCGATCACTGAAATGGCCACACTGGTATAGACCTCCATTAGAACAGATTGACCATTTAAACAGGCATTTATTACAATTGGTTCTGATCTGAACGTTGCTAAGCAATTTAGCTGTTCCAAACTAGATGTAGGTAGGCATTCCAGGGTGTACACTGTCCTGGATACCAGCCTATGAGTTCTCTTACTCAATTTAGATTTGTTGGGACTCTCTTGCTGACTCAAATCCATCTACCGGCAGCAACTATAATGCCTTGCTAGCCTGGATCCTGAAGAAAATTTTAATGGTTCGGT